CCCTAACCTGCGCAAGGGCGAGATCGCGCGGCGCTTCAACATCCCGCCGTCCACGCTTAGCACAATCCTGAAGAACAAGCGCGCCATCCTGGCGTCGGAGCGCAAGTACGGTGTGGCCTCCACCTGCCGCAAGACCAACAAGCTGTCCCCCTACGACAAGCTCGAGGGGCTGCTCATCGCCTGGTTCCAACAGATCCGTGCCGCTGGCCTGCCAGTGAAGGGCATCATTCTCAAGGAGAAGGCTCTGCGGATAGCAGAGGAGCTGGGCATGGACGACTTCACTGCCTCCAACGGCTGGCTGGACCGCTTCCGCCGGCGCCACGGAGTAGTGTCCTGCAGTGGCGTGGCCCGCCCCCGCTCGCGCAGCACTGCTCCCCGGGCCCCAGCAGCGTCCTCCGGTCCACCTGCGGTGCCCTCGGAGGGCAGCGGGGGAGGTACGACGGGCTGGCGCGCTCGGGAAGAGCAGCCACCGTCGGTGGCTGAGGGCTACGCCTCCCAGGACGTATTCAGCGCCACTGAGACCAGTCTATGGTACGACTTTCTGCCTGATCAGGGCTCGGGGCTGTGTGGCAGCGATGGACGGGCGCGCAGGGCCACCCAGCGCTTGAGTGTGTTGCTGTGCGCCAACGCGGACGGCAGCGAGAAGCTGCCCCCGCTGGTGGCAGGCAAGTCAGCCAAGCCCCGTGCAGGCCAAGCCGGCCTGCCCTGCGACTACACAGCCAACTCTAAGGGTGGTGTCACCACCCAGGCCCTGGCCAAGTACCTGAAGGCCCTAGATACCCGCATGGCAGCAGAGTCTCGCCGAGTCCTGCTACTTGCCGGCCGCCTGGCTGCCCAGTCCTTGGATACCTCGGGCCTGCGTCATGTGCAGCTGGCCTTCTTCCCTCCGGGCACCGTGCAGCCGCTGGAGCGGGGAGTGGTCCAACAGGTGAAGGGCCACTATCGCCAGGCTATGCTGCTCAAGGCTATGGCGGCGCTAGAGGGCCAAGATCGTTCTGCCCTGCAGCTGGGCCTTATGGAGGCCCTGCACTTTGTGGCCGCAGCATGGCAGGCAGTGGAGCCTTCGGACATAGCTGCCTGCTTTCGTGAGGCTGGCTTCGGGGGTGGCCCAAATGCTACCATCACCACTGCCCTCAAGAGCGAGGGGGAGGAAGAGGAGGAGGAGGAAGAAGAGGAGGAGGAAGAGGAGGAGGAGGGAGAAGGGGAGGAGGAGGAGGAGGAAGAAGGAGAGGAAGAGGAGGAAGGGGGGGAAGGAGAGGAGTTAGGAGAGGAAGAGGAGGTGGAAGAGGAGGGTGATGTTGATGACAGTGATGAAGAGGAGGAGGAAGAGGAGGAGGAGAGCTCCTCTGAGGGCTTGGAGGCAGAGGACTGGGCCCGGGGGGTAGTGGAGGCCGGTGGCAGCTTTGGAGGCTATGGCGCCCAGGAGGAGGCCCAGTGCCCCACCCTCCATTTCCTGGAAGGTGAGGAGGACTCTGAATCGGACAGTGAGGAAGAGGAGGATGATGACGACGATGATGATGACGACGATGAAGATGATGAGGATGAGGAAGAGGATGGTGATGAGTTGCCTGTGCCCAGCTTCGGGGAGGCCATGGCTTACTTTGCTATGGTAAAGCGGTATCTGACCTCCTTCCCCATTGATGATCGTGTGCAGAGCCACATTCTGCACTTGGAACATGACCTGGTCCATGTGACCAGAAAGAACCATGCCAGGCAGGCAGGAGTTCGGGGTCTTGGGCATCAAAGCTGAGCCACTGGGCCTAGCCATACCCTCGACCCCGATGTGGCAGCACCAGCCCAGGGCAAAGGACTCTTTGGGCAGCTGCTGTGGATGGAGCCCCAGATCCTTTAGTCATGTTCACCAGGCCCTGTGAACAAGCCCAGTCACCTTGGCAGGGCACAGGTTTAGGGTCAGCCTCACTGCCTGCTTATTGCCTCTTTCTCAGAGTCCTATTTCCTCCCCATTTGCCCCTGGGCTTGGGGGACCAGGTGGGGAGCTGTCCGGTGCTACCACACCATGCCATCAGTGGACTAGGCCACAGCAGCCTCCAGGGATGGGCCCTGGAAGCTCCCGGCCAGAGAGTGCCTCTCCCCTCTGCCGTCTATACCAGGTTTCGGTGGGGGGGACCCCAAAGCCATTCTGGGAAGGGCTTCATAGGAAGGTCCAGCCTAGGCCCCCGCAAGGCTGGCAGCCCCCCATCCCTGCCCCCAGACCACCTCCAGAAGCACAGTCTAACTCACTTCAGGCTTTTGAGCCTGTCTGCCTGCTTTCCCAAACCTGAACCCTTCCTTTGGCCCAGCCCATGTTACTTCGGCCCTCGGTTTTCTTTCCAGGTTGGAGGTTCCCGAGAGACCTCTAGGGGAGTGAAAATGGGTGTTTGTTTCCCTCGTGGGCATCTGCAGGCCCTGTGCCTCTCCTTCTCTGGCAGGGTCCTGTCCTGGGCAGGGGGCCTGGGGCTGGGCCCAGAGTCCAGCTGTCCAGCTGCTCCTTTCCCAGTTTGAATTCAATAAATCTGTCCACCCCCCCTTTTGTGAGGGTGAACGTTTTAACAGCCAAGGGTGCATCCTTCATAGTCTGGGCTTGCGTCTGTTGGGGACATGCCCTTTCCCGGTTCCCTTTGGTCCTCGCTTTGGTGGGACATGAAAGCAAGTGTTGAGAGAGTGGCCACAGGCTAGGCCCTAACTCAGATGAGGGGCCACCTCCATGTCTAAATGCTCTCTAGACTTGGGAAGGCAGGTGTCCTCGGTGCACCTGCCTGGGTATGGATGGGTTTGAGGAACCAGGCCTTGTACTGCTTTAGGGCTAGAGAGAAGCTTGGGGTCAGTTGACTGGGACAGGAGGGAGGGAGCCAACTGTCTGTTGGGCTAAATTGAATTATAGGCATCTGGGAACTAGGCTTATCAAGGCTCATTAATGAAGGTCCTTGCAGGAGTGAGGATCCAGAGGCAGAAAGAAAGGAATGTTAGGGCATCCCTTAGTTTACCCTTGGGGCTTTAAGAGGAAGTCCCTTAGGCCTTTCAGTGATTGGCATCTCCAAGCTAATGGCTATCAGTGAGGACAGTGGCAGGAGAAAGATCATATTACTGGGGAGAGATTGTACCTCCAAGAGGCTGAAGATAAATTAGCAACTCCATGTGTAGTGTCCTTCAGGGGGGCTCCCAGTTCAAAGGTGAAGACAGGCCCCTCACTGATCCTACCCACTTTCTCCTTTTCCGCCAGCCCTGGCTTCCTGGTCCTACAGCAGTGAGACCTTCAAGCCCCAGTGGTTCCAGCCAAGGGAGAGCCCCAAACCGGTTTTCCCACCTTGACTAGGGCTGGCACATCACCCAGGTGGTTCCCTCCTCCCCACCTTCCTCTGCTTCCTCTCTCCACTCAGGAATGTTAAGGGGTGGGGGGTGGTATCCAGGTAATCTTTTGTCTCTTGCCTGCCCTGGGCGTGGTCCCTTTTGGAAAGGCAAGAGCAGCACGGATGAATTTTTTTAATGTAATGATTTAATTTTTTTAAAGATTTTATTTATTGTTAGAGGGGAAGGGAGAGAACCACCAATGTGTGGATGCCTCTCACGCGCCCCCAACTTGGGGCCTGGCCTGCAACCCAGGCATGAGCCCTAGAGTGGGAACTGAACCAGTGATCCTTCGGTTCACAGGCCAGCACTCAATCCACTGAGCCGCACCAGCCAGGGCGGATTTTATTTTTTTAAGTTTTATTCATTTCTTTTTAGAGAGAGAGAGGAAGGGAAGGAGAAAAAGAGAGGAAGAAACAGTGACTGCCTCTGGTCTGCACCTGGGTCGGGACTGAAACTGCAGCCCAGGCATGTGCCCTGACCTGGAACTGAACCTGATGACCTTTTTGATTTTCTGAATGATGCTCAACCAACTGAGCCATGCTGGTTAGGGCTAATTTAGTGGTTTTAGTGAGGGAGAAGAAGAGAGAGAGAGAAACATCTATTTGTTTTACCTAGTTATACATTCATTGGTTGATTCTGGGATGTGCCCTGACCAGGGATTGAACCTTTGCTCTTGACGTATTGGGATGACTTTCTAACCAACTGCCTGGCCAGGGCCATTATATATGACTCTAAAACGAAGGATGAAGTCACCATCCCACCCTTGGCTTTCTGCATTTCTGGCATACTGGGATGCCTTCTAGGCCTTGAAGGTTTCAAGACTTAAGTGGCAACAAAAAGTACCAGGGACTCCCCTTACCATCACCCTCTCACCCCCACCTGTGCCCTGGAGAGGAGACTGAGAGTCATGAGGAAGCTCAGCCCACCCCCTGGTCTGCTCTGGAGTAAGGAGGTGGGAGCAGTAGTCTTCTCCCCACGTGCCCCTGGTCAACCCAAGTCTCACCTCAAATAACAAGGCAAATCCTTTCCATTTGTTTCCTGCTTACAAGAACACCTTTTGCTGCAGCTGATCTATCTCATCCTGTTATCCATGACACTGACAGATGTTAAATAGGGCTCTCGCCATGTAGCATCTGTGCTAAGCACGTTAGGGGCTCATGAAACCCCTAAAAGTAAAACTGAGAAAACAGGCACAGAGTTCCAGCGATGTGCCTGAAGTTACACCACGAGTGTGGAAGCCACGGTTCTCCCCAGGATGACCCTAGAAGCGGCCCTTTAGTAAGGAAGAACCCATCTTCCTAATCCTCCTAAATGTAGTCCTTGAAATGGAACTGGTTACCGAAATCAATTTCTTACCCATGGAAGTGTAGAAGAGCTTTTCAGAGGGAAATGAGGGGTATGGGAGTGGACACAGGAGTTCTTAGAGCTCTTACACCTATAAGCATCTCCTGTTCCAGCGGTACACACACCACACACACTGTAAATACCATTCTCCTCCCCATTACCCCACTGGGACAAATAGGTGAGAACTGTCTGCACTTCATAAAGCAGGTAAGAAAGTTAACGAGTTAAAAGACCTGCCCAGGGCACCGGCCATGAGCTGTGGTATCCCTAGGAGCCTGGTACATATTACCAGGTACATATTACCTGGTACATAATATGTGGGGTTACATATTAAATGCCCCCACATAACAATTCAGGGAAGGGGGCACGGTGATGGGCCTATGAGCTCAGAGCTCAGTGGAGGGACCCAGCGAGGAGGCACTATCACACAGTCCAGATAGGAAGTAGCAGATGCCTTCATTTGGGACTGGTGGCTAACGGGTCTAGGTGGGGGACCGGGGAAGCTGGTTCAGGGGTTCTGGAGGTCCAGTTGGCTTTGTCAGGACCCAGGGTGAGCCAGTGGCTGGTCAGCAGGCCGCGTGGGCCAAAAAGATTTCTTCCTGGGAGGCAGGGAAGACAAGGCCACCTATACCGCCTTTTTAAATCTGGGGCCTGAGAAGAGGTAACGGGGTAAACTACAACTCCCAGAAGCGTCTGCTCCCCGAAGACAAGGGCGGTTGTCATGGTTTCAGAAAACAATATGGCCGCTCCCATCTGGGACGGGAGTCTCTGGGTTAAAGAGTCTGAGATAAATCTGGGTACCCGCAGCGGCAAGGGAAGAGGCGCTTGAGCGCTAGTGAGTTTAAGGCAGGACGCTGTACGACTGGAACGACTTGCCTTTGCTGGGGGCGCCAATGGCGGGCAGCGTGGACGAGGAGGCGCTGCACCAGCTGTACCTGTGGGTAGACAACATCCCTCTGTCCCGGCCAAAGCGAAATCTCTCCCGGGACTTCAGTGACGGAGGTGTGCGCCCGTGTGTGTCCCCACGTTCTGTCCTATATGTATGTGTGTAAGAGGGTCTTTGTGCAAACACATCTTTATGCTTGCGTGCATGTGGGGTGTGTATGTTTGGGGGGACGTCTGTCTCCTAGGACTTCAGTTGTAGGAGGTGTCTGAGTGTGGGAGTCTGTGACTCTCTCCTGGGACTTAGTGACTCAGACGTATATCAATATGCATCTTTGCATCTCTCTGTGTGTGCACTCACATCGCTATATTCTGTATGTTTGTCTATGGGAGTCCGAGTGTGTGTGCACTCGTGTATATTGACACATCCTGTCCTGTATATATGTTGGGGGCGTCTTGTATGAATGAATGTGTTGCTTTGTGACTGTGTGGGTGTCTGTGTTTCTAAGACTGTCTCCCGGGATTTTAAGGTGTGACTATGTGCTTGTGTGTGTACGTTGGTGACTGTCTCTTGGAACTCCAGTGATGGAAGTATGTGTATGTGTTTGTCTATCTTTGTGTGTCTGTGTATGTAGTGGATGTGCTATATATGTGCCTCTGTGTGTCTAGGTGTGTGGGCCTGCAGTCTGTCCGATGTGCATATCTTTAGAGGGAATCTCTTTTTTTTAATTAATTAACTTATTTATTTTTAGAGAGGGGGAAGGGAGGGAGAAAGAGAGAGAGAGAAACATCACGTGTGAGAGACAGGTCAATCTATTGCCTCTCGCACACCCCCAGTGGGGCACCTGGCCTGCAGCCCAGGCATGTGCCCTGACTGGGAACTGAACCTGGGACCTTTTCAGTTCACAGGCCGGTGCTCAATCCACTGAGCCATACCAGCCAGGGCTAGAGGGATCTTATTACATTGTCTGTTTGCATGAGTCTACAACTTTCTCCTGGGACTTTGATGTTGCAGTATGTGTATGTGCCCATATAAATGCCTAGGGTGGAGCCCCAGGGTCTTGAAGGGCGCCCTTGGAGATTCATTCTCTATTAGAGCACCAGAGACCACTGTTTTCAAGTGCCCTGAGTTAATGGGGAGGGGATGCAGCCCCTCTGGGGTATGCTGGAGGCTTGTCTCCAGCAGATCTCTGATCTCACTTCCTTGACTCCATTCTGTACCACCCCTCCCTCCCTATCACCCTTTCTTTTTTCCACATTTCCACCTTTCCACCTCTGCCACCCCTGGTTCTCCCATCCCACCCATTTCTTCTCCCTTCCCCTTCCCCCTACCTCTTTTCCCATCCCTCCACCTTCCATGTCTCCTCCTACTTCCACTCCCTCAGTCCTGGTTGCAGAAGTCATCAAGTTTTACTTCCCCAAGATGGTGGAGATGCACAATTATGTCCCTGCCAATTCTCTCCAGCAGAAGCTCAGCAACTGGGGTCACCTGAACAGGTAGCAGAATATCTGGTTGCACTAAAATGGTCTCCAGCCCCTGCCCTGGGCTCCCAGGAAGGGCTGCTTCAGCCCCTCCATCTCGTACAATCTCCACAGCCCAGGCTGGGACTGTGCCCATAGCAGGGTGGGGAGAGGCAATGCAAGCAGAATTGTCTGGGAACAAAAATCTAGGGACTCTTCTTGTTTTGATTTTTTTTTTTTAGATTTTTAAAAATTTATTTATCTTTAGAGGGAAAGGGAAGGAGAGAAGGAGAGAAATGTCAGTGGATGTTTGCCTCTTATGTCCCCTACTGGGAACTGGCCTGCAACCCAGGCATGTGCCTTGACTGGGAATCAAACCATGATCCTTTGGTTCACAGGCCTGCACTCAATCCACTGAGCTACACCAGCCAGTGCTCAAGGGACTCTTTTATTGGGGAGGCGACAAGATAACTTGGGGACAACCAAGAACAGGGCTCAGGTGTGGTAACCTTCCACTCCTTCAGGGCTGCACACTTAGTACAGCAGCTGTTGCACCCCCCCCCAACTTCATTTCCTAAGGACCTAGTCTGCTATGCCCCTGTCTACCCCCCAGAAAGGTGCTGAACAAGCTGAACTTCTCCGTACCAGAGGATGTGATGCGCAAGATCGCACAATGCACCCCAGGCGTGGTGGAGCTGGTGCTCATTCCGCTGAGACAGCGCCTGGAGGAGAGGCAGAGGCACCAGAAGCAGGGCTCGGGCTCCTTACAGGTGCCACCCTACTCAGGCTTCTCCCACTGCTCTGGGGGAGGTGCCCAGGCTGCGGAAAGCCCCCACCTTGGTGACAAGTGTGGAAGAGGGTGCCTGCTTAAAGGGAGCCTGACCTGGGGGGCAGTGGAAGGGACACAGGGCTACTTGGGGATGGGAGAATCTGAACTCACAGTGGATCCGGGGATTCTTTTAGGAGCTGGCTCCCCAGGATGGCACTGGCTACATGGATGTGGGTAAAGTGGCTTTTACTTTTCCTCCCTCCCAGGAGGAACTTTTCTCCTGTATTTCCTTCTTGCGGGGGGCGGGGGGGGAGGTTGGAGGGGAAGATAGGAGGAGAGGACTCCAAAAGGGTTACCCCGCCCCTTACCTCTTCTCAGGTTTGTCTCAGAAGGCCCGAGGGGAAGGTGCCCCAGATCCCCAGGGAGGGAGGCAGCTCAGGTAAGGAAGCTGGGAGTTGCTGACCTTACCAGGCCAGGTGACATCCCTGCAGAGGGCTGGGATGCTCCTGGGAAGGTAGGGAAAGTAGGCCAGGGAGAAGGGAGGAGAGGTGGCCTGGCCAAGGGGCACTGGGAGGGTGAGGGTGGGGCCCAAAGTCCAGGCCTCTACTAAACTGCTTTTAACTCCAGGGTGGGGCGGCTGCCAGGGCCCCGGCCTCCAGGGTACAGCCAGGTGCTGCATGGCGACCCAAGCGTCGTCCTTCAGATTGCTGAAAAGGAGCAGGAGTTGCTGGCCTCACAGGAGACCGTGCAAGTGAGAGCACTGGGAAGGTGTGGGGGCTGCAGAGGCGGGGACACAGGGCGGCAGGTCTCTGGGCTTGACCCCTGTGCTGTGTGGCCCAGGTCCTCCAGATGAAGGTGAGACGCTTGGAGCACCTGCTGCAGCTCAAGAACGTGCGCATCGATGACCTCTCCCGGCGGCTCCAGCAGGCGGAGCGTAAGCAGCAGCGGTGAGCGGCAGGATGCCCCAGTGTCCCCCAGAGCCCTGACACCAGAGACCAACGCACCCACAGACCGACAAACGGGCAGGAAGGGCCAACAGCTCCAATGAGCCTCCTGGGGAGTAAGGCCGCCCCTCCCTTGGGGTGAGCGTGGGGAGGGGGTGATGGACGGGGGCCCTTCCTGCCAAGCCCAGGACTAAGTCACCACCTTCACTATATCCGGGTCAGGAGAATGCACTGCTTTCCAAAACCCAGAAGCCATGCGCGGAGACTTGGTGCGCACCCCAAAGCAGTGTCCAACACAGAGGGCAGGGACTCCACCTTGGAGCTCCCTGTGTTGGGCCTTCGGGGACAGTCCCCTGGCTTGGTCCACACCTTGAGAACCAGGTCCCCATTCAGCTGCGAGGCAAGTGGTGTCTCCATCCAGGCTAATTCCTTGTTCCCTGGGCTATGGGGGAAGCTGCCCCAGGCAGCAGAGGGAGTCCCTTGTCCCTCCTGGGCACTCACCTGGGACCCATCTTAAGGCTGGAGAAGCACAGCCACTGAAGAAGAAGAGGTGAGGAGTGGGCTCAGCCAGGTGTGGGGAAGACATCGGCTGTGCCTCTACCCGTCATCTTCCCCTCCCGTGAAGTACGCTTCAGAGTACTTGGGGTGTATGGGGCACGGCTACCCCCATTAAAGGTGCTGTCCTCTTTTTCCTGCACTTGCCTTCTCTCTCTGCCTGGATCATTGGGGCAGCGAGGTCCTGCCCTCTTTTGCCGCCCTTTCCACCCCTCGAGTGAAATAGCCTTTTGGGCCTAGAGTGGGTCTTGCCCTGTGGGCAGCTGGGCCCTAGGAGGCCACTGCTTGGTAGGTTGATATCGCAGAGGTCAGGTCTTCTGCACTAGAAGAGTCCAGCTTCTAACCCTGGCCGTATTAGTCCAAGGATTGTATCAACCCTCAACCCGCCCCCTTCCCGCCCACCACAGTGTCCTCCAACTCACTCCAAACCCAGACTTGATTCTCCCCAAATGTAGCTTCATGCTCATGCTCATCCTTGCTCATGGACTGACCCCTAAATATGTCCTCTGTATGACTCTCAGTCCTGATCAAGACACCATGGCCATGGGGTGACCCTAACTCTGATCAGTAACACTGAACATTTGTAAATCCTGAGCCTCCCACAATTTGGTTCCTAGGCACAGACTCAACATATGCCCAGGAGAAACTTAAGCTCTGTGTTTTGTGACCTGGGATCCATGTGTAGCAATGTTCATAGCAACACGTTTTGTAACAGGAAAAGAACTTGTATTCGTTATCTATTACTGTGTAGCAAATCACCACACTTAATGGCTTAGAACAGCACTCATTTATTATCTCATACTTTCTGTGGCTCAAGAGTCCAGGCATCTGGGTCCTCTGATTCAGGGTTTCCCACAAAGCTGCAATCACGTTGTTGGCCAGAGCTGTGGTCTCATCTGAATGTTATCCTGGGGAGGGGCTCACTTCCAAGTTCTCTCGGTCATTCACAGAGTTCAGGTTCTTGTGGACCGTTGGACTGAGGGCTTCAGTTTCTTGCTGGGTGTTGGCTGGTGGCGGCCCTCATTTCCTTGCCACCCAGCAAGGGAGAGAGTTAGGGTCTGCTAGCAAGATGGAAGTTATAGTTTAGCTAATGTCCTTATGGGGGTAACATCCATCACGACCATCGTTTGCTATTTTTTTGAAATAAGTCACTCAGTCCAGCCCACATCCAAGGAGAGAGGAACACATAGATTTGAATATCAGGAGGCAGAGGGCGTGGGGAGCCGTTTTAGAATCTGGCTTCGAGGAGGAAAATGCAATGAAGGATACACTCTAGGCTAGTGGTTACTTCTGAGGGAAAGCGGAGAGCAGAAATGCAAGAAGCGCATGTGTAGATATAAGTTATTTGTAATGTTTTAGTTCTTGGGGCAGGTGAAGGGTTTACAGATGTTCATAAGTGGGTTGTTTATGGACAAGTAGGAAGAGAGTGTCATGAACCAAAGGTTATGTGGAGTTTAATTCTGTTTGCCTGAGTTCGTAAAGTAATAAAATAAAAATGGATGACTACTCCTGACCTTGGTCTGTGCCCCTCCCTTGCACTCAGCCTGGTCTCAGGTTAACGCTGCTTCGGCCTGGCCTTCTGCCTTCCCCAGATGGACCCCAGCCCCGCCCTGTTTTCTCCCCGTAGTCTGCGTTGGGTCTCCAGAGTTCTGTCCCCTGAGCCTTTCATCCAGGGACCACACCTGTGTGCTCCTGTGTGTGGCACTGGAAGGAATGGTTTGTTAATGAAGGGGCCTGAGGGTCAGGATGTAGGGTAGGGCATGGTTCTGCCTGACAGCACAGTGGGCCCAGAATTCAGGTTTGGCGGTTGGGGTCACCCCCTTAAGAGTCTGCCGACCTTCTGCATAGCAGAAGCTGGGCCAGGTCCTGGAGGGTCCTCCTCCTTGGGTCCCCCCACCTATTCCTACTACCTACATATGCCTGTGTCTTAACACACAATTATATCTCAAAATCCTACATATCAAACCCCAAAAGCAATAGAGAATTTTATTGCATGTTTCTTGGAAATAAATATGAAGGTGGATTATGTCACACATTATGAGTCTGTAATTCTTTAAACATCTCTCTTGTTCTCCAAACTTCCCTTCTCACAGCCACGACCGTGTGTTTCTCCCACTCTTCTCCCCACTCCCCTCTGCCCTTTCGGAGCCGCACTAAATTGGATTTCTTTGGTTCACTTATCCATTAATTCCTCAAATGTTAATTGAGTGTCTACTATGTACCGAATACTAGGGACAAAAAGATGCAAACAAAACATGATTTGTGTCCCCCTGTTTTCACACTCCTAGAAGGGGAAAAGGCCTGTAAAAAGGTATTCAAATTTTTTGTTAATATATTTTTTTAATTTGAAAGATTTTATGTATTTATTTTTAGAGACGGGGGAAGGAGGGAGGAAGAGAGGGAGACAAACATCAGTGTGTGGTTGCCTCTTATGTGCCTTCTACTGGGGACCTGGCCTTCAACCCAGGCCTGTGCCCTGACTGGGAATCAAACCAGCAGCCCTTTGGTTTGCAGGCTGGCGCTCAATCCACTGAGCCACACCAGCCAGAGGTGTTACTTAATATTTTGAGTAGATAAAGGCACATCATTAAAAAAACATATAAACAGTGAAGTCCCCCCTTGGTCCTCTCACACCTCCAATAGGAAACTTTTTCTTTAGTTTTCGCATATTCCTCCAGAGTATCCTTATGTGAATACAAACAAATGTGCACATTTATTATTATCTTCACCCCACCATTTTTTAATATAAAGGGAAGCAGACTACCCCTCTGTTCTGTATCTTGGTTTTCCATTCAAGGAGATCTTTTGTAGATAATGTGATGGTCATTGTTATGTGCTAACTTGACTGGGCCGCAGGGTGCCAAGGTATTTGGCCAAACATTCTGGGTGTTGCTGTGAGCATGTTTGGATGCGATGAACATTTACTTGGGTAGACTGGAAGCAGATTGTTCTCCCTGACGTGGGTGGGCCTCTTCCAATCAGTTGAAGTCCTGAATAGAATAAAAAAGCTGTCTCTTCCCTGAGTAAGAGAAAATTCCTCCTGCCCGACAGCCTTTAAACCAGGACATCGGCTTTTTTTTTTCTGCCTTTGGACTCCAACTGAAACATGGATTCTTCCTGGGTCTCCAGCCTGCCAGCCTTTGGACTGGAACTTAATGATTGGCTCTCCCGAGTCTCCGGCTTGCTGACTCATCCTGCAGACCTTGCAGCTCGCCAGCCTCCGTGATTGCATGTGCTAATTCCTCTCTGTCTCTCATTGGTTCTGCTTCTCTGGAAAATCTTGACTAATGAAAGATTTTTCCCTATCAGTACATTGAATACGTCCTCTGCTTTTACAGCTCTATTGTTTGTGTCAAATAAAATTCTGTTGTCTGTACCGAATTTAATCAGTCCTCTATTTATGGACATCTAATTTTTTTTTAAAGATTTTATTTATTTTTAGAGGAGACTGGAGGGAGAGAAACATCATATGAAAGAGTGTGGGAGGCTCTGCCCGAAAGACCCCCACCATTCTGCATGGTTGAGAATAAATCTACCAAGACATGATCTGCTCAGGGAGGAAGGTGACCAATCTCTCAAAGGAGAAGGGCCAGGAGCCTGTTCCTTAATGGGCTTTTAATGAGTTTATTTGCACAGGAATATAGGGCAGACATGTAATTCTCATCAATCATTGTCAGGCAGTAAGGATCAAATAATAGATAATATTCAAAGAACTATGAGGGCTTATTTAGAGCCAAGGTCAGATAGCTAAGAGGCCCCATAAATCTTTGGAGAAACAAACTCATTTCAGGCTTGGACCCTTATCATTTAAATGGAGGGTATTAGCAAAGTAGGTTTCACAGGATTTTGTGCATTCTTTCTTAGGCCTGATCTCCTAGGGAGCCTACCCTTTCCAGCACAGGGCTGCACCCACCTCTGGCATTGTTTCAGGCTTAAGTTGGGTCTGAGACATAAGGCAGCCAAGAGATTAGGAGACTTCTTTCAGACTGAGGACTCAGGCTATGTCAAAGTCGAGGGGTGAGGGTTCATCACCCCCTTTCTCCATAGCCCCCCAAGTCCTTCCCTGAGGGACCCCTCATGACCATGCCTGTGTTAAGTCATCCCTCCCTTGAGGAATCTTACCCATCCTTGGCTAACCAGTCATGCACTGGGGGCCAGGCAAGGTGAAGTAACGGGGGCAGAGGCAGCACCCCTGCCAAGGAGATAAACTTTGTCTCCTTAGTGGCTTACGGTCCCCGGGTCTTTTTACTCAGCCTTAGCCACGGGGGATTACAGCTTCTGAAACCAGGCAGGGCGGTTCCCAACAAAAGAGAAACATCAATCAGTTGCCTCTTGCGTGTGCCTCGGAGCAGAACCTGCAGCCCAGGCACGTGCCCTTACCCGCAGCCAAATCAGCAACTTTTCACTTTACAGGATGATGCCCAACTGACTGAGCCACACCAGTCATGCTGATTTGTTTTGAATCTCTTACTATTAATAATATAACAATGAATAACTTCATACATTCATAATTTAGTATCGTGTACAAGTAGATCTTCATGATAAGTTCCAGAACTGGGGTTGTTAGTGTCAACATAAGAAACATTCAAACCTGTAGAGGATTTTTATGAATTTATTTGAGCCAACCCGAGGACAATCACTGAGAAGCAAAACCGTAATGAGTTGAAAAACTGCTCTGGAAAATGGCAGTTTTGCACCTTATTTTATACATTACAATCATGAAATCCACTGGTGCTAGATTAGGGAGGCCGGAGGAAGCAAAGTGGGGTCGGGGGTGGTTGGGGTGGTGAAATGGAGGGGTGGGAGTGGGGGTCTGTAAAGCCTCTGGGATTGGATAAAATAAAATGACAGACACATACTTCTTTGACACAGGTAGGTGCAGGATGGTTGACAGCCCATAATTAACATGATAGCAATTAACAGTGAGGGAATCGGTGGTCTCCTCTGGTGTGGTGGATGTGCCCAGAGGGTTCTGGGGAAAGGGAAGTGACCTTGACACTCCAATGGTATGTTATCTTAGATACAAAAACACAACACGCAGGCTCAAGTACCATAACCATCTTGTTTTGTCTGGGAAGATTCTGGACTAGGACCTGACTGTCCTCCATGACCTGCTTTTAGTCAGAAAGTTCTAATTTCAGACCATCCTATGTGGCTACTTTAGATGTTTGAGTAAGGCTGCCATGCAGGCCTCCCCTAAGTTTGTCAGGTTTAGTAGGTGAAACCTTTCAGTCCACGTGAGGTCAAAGAGTGCATACATTTGTCGCCTTGATAGGTATTGTGAAATTGTCCTCCGTAAGGGCCTGGCTGAGAGCAGAGGCTCAAGATTGGTGGTCCATTGCTCTGTTTTGGTTTGTGGAGTTGTGTTTTCACAAAATTGCTAATTTTAATTTTAAAATATTTTAAAGATTTTTAGAGGAAGGGGAAGGGAAGGAGGAAGAGAAACATCCATGTGAGAGAGAACATTGATCAGTTGCCTCTTACACCCACACCTGGGGACCTGGCCTATAACCTAGGTCTGTGCCCCGACCGTTATTCGAACCTATGAACTTTCGTTTCATGGGGCAACACCCAACCCACTAAGCCACACTATTACCAAACAGAGGTCCAAGGGGAGGGGGATATTTGGCCCACACGGAGATGGCAAAAACTGCTACAGAACAACAGGGCTGCCCACCCCCCTCCCCCAGGACGGTATACTAATACCTGCTGGGCTCGTCTGTCCGCCGCCAGAGGAAAGACATCTCTCAATGCCATAGATTTGTGGAAAGGAAAGGAAAGGTTTATTTAAAGCTATACAGACTTAAAGTAGTGACCCGATGTCCCCATTAATATATCAAAGTCCTTTTGGATACCCACAGATGCCCACAGCACTTCCTTCTCCCCCTGACCTAATTCAGGGTACCATAACTCAGGAAAAGAAGCACACATCTGTGTTTCAGGCCGCTGGCACCATCATCTGTGTCGCCATCCAGGCAGGATCTCTAATTACTCCAAAGCCATGTGGCACTTTCTCATGGTCTACTGGAAGAGTTCTTTCACTCTTCTTTCAGGCAAAGTCTTTCCTGCTTCCCAGGCCACACGGCCAAAGAGAGCACCCCAAAGCTGCGTGGGCTTCTTCTACCAGAGCTGCAGGGGTCTGCACTCTGGCAAAAATTGCATGATTCTTTCCTTCACATGGCTGCAGAGAGGGTAGTGTCACTACTCTGGCAAAGGGAGTAGCGGTTTTCTGCTAAAGTAGCATGGTGATTCTCTCTCACATGGCTGTGGGAGTCCCCATTTTGGCCAAAAGTGTGTGGTTCTCCTTCTCACATGGCCAAGAGGAGGTCCTCACTCTACCAAAACTGAGTGGCTCTCCCTTCACCTGGGCAAGAGGGAGTCTGCACTCCATCAAAACCGCATGGCTCTATTTTCAATGGCT